ACAAAGAGAAGAATGGGACTTTTCAAGTCGCCTAGAGGAAGATTGTAACGTTCCTTTCTCCGTGGATGAATTTTCCTCATCCCTCACCCTTGGGAATGAACATCTACTGGAAAAGGCACATATTTCCCTCTTCTGTATCTTCAAGATTTGGATGGAGCATACCTTTCTTAGGGTTTGGCACAAAGCGATTATTATTTCAATTCTCAAAGAACAAGCTGTGTTTGCAAGCTTTTAGAGCGAATGGTGCAAATGCATCTGGTCTGGCCCCTGGAATAGAGAAACCTACTTACAGTGGATGGCCACATTATTATGACCACTTGATTCTTTTTTCTATTCTTGTCATTCTTTTGTGCCCTTTATTATACTACATTAGGGTCATTATGTCGATTTCCTATAACTGTTTTGTCATCTGGTGTCAAGTGTAAGATATTGGTACACCTGTAAAACAATTGGCACACCTGTTGTATCATTATTTACAGAACAAGTTATTTAGCAGCTGTTTCACGTTCGCGTTTTATTGACAATTTCATGTACAAATTGTGAGTAAATGTGAATGAAGTGAATGTGTTTTGGCTGTTGTGCTATTTAATGCATAGTGTGCATGTTTATTACATTGACATCGTGCATAAATACTGAAAGACCTTTTTACTCCGAATCTCTAAATTTGAAGAGAGACAGACTGCAGATATTGCACCTAAGAAAAAATCTGAAATCAAAGCTTTAATGCAACATTCTTGCTATTCTCATAGACAAGTGGTACAAATTATGCATGTATCTCAGTAAATAATGATAAGAAAAAAGTCAAATTGGGGAGCCCCTAACTTCTGCTTGTAAAGGGGCATGTGGAAGAAAGCAAATTACGACACGAAGGAATGATAAACAAATCAAGGATACGTATTTGAAAAACATAAAGAAGGGCAGTAAAGTCATTACGAAGATAGTTCAATATTCTGACATCCATATTTCGGAAAGAACCGGCGGGCAACAGCTTGCAGAAGAAATAATTTATTTCCTGTAGGCCAGCCAAGACTCACTTAAGCTATGATTTCGAAAAGACTTCAGTGGGCAAGAGACCGTTAATTGCAATAAGGTATGAACATATTGGTTTTATTGTCATGATGTATTCAAAGTCATAAAAGAAAATTGAAATAAATTTATGAAAGAGCCTTACCTCTTTGACAAGAATGTTTTTCAGATGAATCAACATTAGAGATTTTATCAGAGAAATCTGCTTAGAAGACCAATCTGAGAAAAATTTCATCCTGACTGCGTTGTTCAGACTGTAAAACCCCCACAAAAGTTATGGTTTGGTCGGTAATCAGCAATAAAGGCGCTGGGAGGTTGTATTTTGTGGAAGGTACTATGCATCAGGACCCATATAAAAAGTACTTCAGAAGGAATTATTACCACTACTGGTTCCCTAATGATAAAAACTACATTTTCATGCATTATAGTGTCCCCTGTAATAAGGCTAAAAGTATCACCCTTGCTGATGCAGGAGCACAAGTTTTGCCGTGATCCGGTAATTCTACTGATCTTACCTCTATGGAGAATATTTGGCATCTGATGAAATACAAAATGGCAAAGGAATTGGTTACCAACAAGACTTAATGAAAAGGCGTCAAAATAACTGGAACAATAATTAGAATGTCAAGGAGACTGCAAAAATGTGTATTGAGATCATGCTGAAAAGGGCCACGAAAGTGATCAAATTTAAAGGTGGTATCACAAAATATTGAAAAGCACTGTGACCTGTGATTTTTATCAGTACTTTGCTTATTTCAGATGTTAAATAATCTATAATAATTGCATATTTGTGTACATGGTGATGTTCACAAAATGTTATCGTCAGTAAGACATCACTTGAAAGAAAGTTGTATTATTTTCATAAATCAAATGATCATAATGATCACCCATTGTACATTATTTATTAGTGTGTTGTTATCTCAGTCTTTTGTTGGGTCCCCTGCAAATTTTGTGAGAATAGTAGGCAACAAAATGGCTGATCAGGCAGCAAAGTTAGCCCCAAAGAAAAGAGTTAGACATTCTCACAGACCCCACAGGAGACACTAAGCTTTTTATCAAACGCTCTGTTTTCAGTGAATGGTAGAGTGGCAGAACTCAGATTTCAAGCTCATGAGAATCAAAGATTCCATAAATTCATGGTCTTTCTCATCTTGTGGTGCTAGGTGCGAGGAGATTATTCTAACAGGCTGTTCGAAATACTGCGCCTAATTCTGATTGTTTTGAGTGGACTGTATTGATAAGTTAGGCAGATCACAGCAGTCCCGAAAACCTATGGTAGGTCAGAGAGGATATATGAAGGAGTTCTGGATTAACAGAAAAAAGTTCTTGCACAACTGCATTTAATAATCCCTGCACTTAAGCACTTGATTACATGGCACAGTTACAATATCACAGTACATACTAACTGGAACACAGTACTAGTAAATTTCCTGGTGAGAGTGGACTAGTGCAACCAACTTGCATTGTATAGACAGCACAGATGGAATTGATTGCAGTGCACGAATTGGGTGGAGCCCAACTTCGCACTAATAGATGCTACTTTAAGCGTGCTAACTGGGAACTGCCCGACATTGCACAATAAATTGAATATCCAAGTGGTCTGATGAGCTGCAACAGGCGGAGGGGTGCAAGGCTCGAACGTGAGATTCTGGGAAAACCATGGGCCGGTTCTGGTGGCATGATTTTTCCAAGCAACAGTCTGGCGCTGTGGCGGTTACAGAACACTATTCTGCCTTGCGTCTTATGAAATGAAATTATATTTATTCTGTTTTGCTGTGGGCCCGAAAACAGGCCTTCGGATGTCACAGTCATTTCTTCCGAGGGTATCTTTTCGGTGGGGACCCACCCCTTATATGTGATTACTTCAAAACAGGTCTCACCGCGGAGCATGTTCTCTTGCACTGTGGGAAGATAAGAGAGCCGCCGACAGCATCACCTTGCTAGCTCTCTAGCAGAGATACTTAGAAATGACGAATCTTCTCTCTGCATGGAATTCACGAGAAACTAAAATCTATCTACAGCCTTATCTGAGAGAAGAGGATAAGACCCGAATATTATCGCTTTTATCCAATAACAGCCTGAAAAATAATTTAAAGTAGATACATATTTCAACGAGAAAAAATGTAATCAAATTGCATTCACAGAATTGATGAGGAAATAGAGAAAAAGACCATTATCACGCTAATAAGTTTAAATTATTTGCCCATCTTTTTAGAACACATAGTTGTCAATATATAACTGTATTTCGTAACGTAACCAAACTAATGAATGAATTCAATGAAATTTTAGTTTCAATCGTTATTGTTTTTGTTTATCAACAAAAAACGAAATTTATGCTTAAATTAATCTTGTTACTTGTAGTGTTTCTGTGATTATGCATGTAATTTTTCGTTTGAAAGTTTCAAATAATATAAACTAGGTGCCAAATATCAATAGATACCCAAATGTGTTATAGTATTAATAATATAGTAATTCAATTTATTTTAGACTAGAGTGGATGACCGTAATAATGTGATAATTCCAAGATTCATGTTTGAAAATCGTTCATAGCATTGCATGCGTTATTCAATTTAAGTGTTAATATAGTGTTTTAAATGGATTAAGACTGTTACACAGGAAGACAATAAGAAATTAAACAACTTTGTACCTGACAGTATCCTGCAATGGCTTCTAGTTTATCTGTTAAAGCAGGCAACAATTTTATTGTATTGCGAGGCAAAGCTTGCGAGAGCAAACTTTCTAAATTTGGCAAAACCAACAGGTTTGCAGCTGCTGTTTTAGGCTGAAATTCTCTTAGCCTCGGGAGGAGCCGAAGAGATATTTCTACTTTAGACGTGAGATC